TATATAAACAAAAATAAAATCGGTAAACCAAAACAAAATGACCTGTTATTGATTGGTCCCTTTTAGGGTTGAAATTTCAGCACTGCCACGCCCATCATCTCACAATAGAGGTCCCTTTTAGGGGTCATTTTCACAATCTCCGCCGAGGACCCCCGCCCTTTGATATTAGGGAGTCCCCCCCCGGGTTTATTTTGAACTGGAGACACCATTGTAAGATCGCTTTCCTGGTCCATCTGTGGCAGATTTTCCAACCTACCAAGGTATAATTTTGCCAATATTTGACAACCAAAGCAATTGGACCAATATTTTGCCTGTAGGTGCGWGGGAGCTCACACTCCTAAAATAATCTTAAGAGAAGAATGCTGCAAGATTTATGTCCAAATTTTGTCTCTTCCCATGATGYATTTCGGTCGTGCATAAGAGTTTATTGTACCGRGTGCTCAAAAGAGGGCTGTTGAGAGGTCTGCAGTGACTTTGACAGAATAAAAACGGCAAAATGAGGACGTGCTATCAAAGGRGTTTGCAAGTGAAGTGTCCTTTTTGCTAGGAAAACATGTTTTGACGCTAAAAATTGAGCTGGAAATTAGTGTTTCCTGTAGTCCTCCAAACGCAAATTTTGGCATTCACTTGTCAGCAGAGTTTTACCTCGTTGGGAAATTCTTTTAACTTTAAGATCGACAATATTTACTAGTGAGTTCGCACTAACAATTTCWGGGCTGTAGTTAACTATTTCGGTAACTTATCAATTTTAGACGCATCGTTCAAATTCGAACGATATTCTATAGGGCAGTCGCCAGAGGGTTAAAACCAGAGGGGAGGGAGGTATTGACAAAAACCTAGTGTCAACAGATCAAGCAACCAATAATAATTGGCTATAACTCAGAGATTGATTTTGCAAAATTGCCTCATACAGCGTAGTTTTCTCGGGTCGTTTTTACATCACATTTTACAGTAACAAAATATTTAAACTCCATTGAWGGAGCTGTCAATCAAACTWTCATGGATTCATATTCCCTAGGGAACGTGGAACTCCTCCCTAAATTGGTCAGCACATTGTCTCAAATTCGCCAAAAAACTTTTATAAGTGTTTTTTTTTCGAGTCATTTGCTGCAACATAATCCCCTAGACCTGTATCATTAAGCTAGAATAGGCGGTTAAGACACTCTTCTGGAAGAAATCAGGAATGGGGTGCGATTTTTCGAAGACAATGGCGACAATGCAAATGTCAGTTGTCTTTAGAGAGAGAGGTCGTATCCCTAGTCTTTCTGTAGCGGATTTTAGAGCCTAT